TGGAAAGGCAGGGTAAGAATGGCACCCCAGTAGAAGACCTGGAAAAAACCTGCATTTTTATCCTACGTACTTCTGCATATGCCATTAGTGGCCCATTTGCCTCCAAGTGCCCCGTTACCTTTAAATGTAGCCCTGTACTCCTGACACTGATGATTGATCAAGTTATCAACGCATCATTCTGAAGATAATTTTAATGATGAAAGCATTGCTAAAAGTTATTTTAAAATTCATTTTTACTTTAACTTCTTTAAAGATGATTTGTTTGAGTACCTGAGATACAGTAACTAATCACTGATGGTTTTCTTTGCAAATAATAAAATAGATTTATATGTCCTTCCTGTAGGCGCATGGATTCCATTGCCTCCTCCTGAATTTCTGAGCTATCGAGTACTTGATGAGAGCTTAGGGAATCAGTATTGTATCTTTTCACAGCAGTAATCAAGGAATGAAGCATTCTCTGCTGCAATGAATCTACTGCAGACTTGAAAGATGAATATTTCAAATGCAAAAGCAATATGTTTGTTTTGAACACATTTAACTTTGGCTTTAATAAAGCAAGTAGTGAAGTGTGCAATGAATTACACTGCTAGATGGTTAAAACAGAACTGTGCAGTATGTCTGAACGCATTTAATCTGAGTAACTATTCATTTTAAATGTGACTTGTAAATACGTATTACATGAATATATATGAATGGATGATTCAGGAACCCGCAAGAGATCAGGGCCTTGCGCTGCTGGCTTGCTCCAAGCCAGCCCAACCTGACAATTAACCACAGCCCAGAGCCTGAATATCATTAAGTAGGAGCTGAACCTTAGGCAGGCTGAAATTAAGCACATGCACAGAGCTATTTAAATGAGGGCTGGTTAAATCAAGACTTAAGCTCCCTGCGGGATTAAGACCTAAAGGTTGATTGGAGCAGGTTGGTGGGTGTCAACCTGCAGCCACAGACACCTTCTGAGAGGTCCATTAGACCATAAAGCCCTCGGTGGGTCCTGTCACTGGCAGGGTTGGCACTTCTGCAGACCTGGACACCTTTTCTGCAGACCACAGGAATGATCCTGGCTGGAAGTAATGGATATACGAAGTTAAACATCTTCTAGCACTATAGGATTCACTTTGAAATACAGAAGGTAGCCCTTATATTGACATAAACACCCATACTGTTTTCACCTACTGAAAAAAGTTTTCAGTAAGGAAATCTTTGACATTACTTTGTTTTTCTCCAAACAGTTGGATTTTTGCTGATAAAAAATGGAGTTTTCTTTAAGTAAAAGAAGATTTTCTTGGCCCATGTTATTTTAATGCTTTAATTCCCTCTTCCTCTTGAAATACACTGAATATTTCCTACACAGACCCCTGCTTTAAGAAAACACCATTTTTTTCCACAGATCGCTTCAACAACGCAGCACATGTACCAGGTTGAACAGCCTCCGAACACAGAGGGCTGCAGCTCCCTGCAAATAAACAAGAGCTGAGAGACAGAGAGACGCACAGGTCCGAGTGCTGGTGGACACGGGGACTAGTGTCCCCTTTTAACTAGAAATTTCCTGTGTTTGTCAGATTGACTAACCTGCAGCCAGCATGCATATGCCCATGTCTGCATGCATATGGAGACAAAGTTTGTCACATATGTTGACAAAATTTATCTACAGAGTTTGCAAGGCAAGCAAAGAGAAAGACGCAGATTTCCCTGGCACAAACAACAACAAAGCTCCAAGTGCGTCAGCGAGCCAAGCTCAGCACCATGGTGCTTTACCTGGAAATTGCCCTTGAAACAGCGAATTTAATACGGAAAATTCTTATATAGCCGAAGTTAAATTATTTAAAATGGAGGAAAGAGGGTTCTTAATTATTTAATGTTTCGCCAATAATTATATAGCTCAGTGTGATGTTCACTCACTGCAGAATCTGATTTTCAAAGGAACATTTGTGAACATCAGTCAAACAAAAAACACCTGCCAGACTACAAATTCACTCAGGGTGGTACCACTGCAGTCATTCCAACATTAGTGTGTTAGGAAAAATATAAGTCTTGACTTAACAGCGAATCCTATCCAGTAATTTCTCTCTTAAAATATTTATGTAGAAAAATATGTACAATTCAGTTTCCTGTTATATTTTTAAAACATGTTATGTCCTATAATTCCTACTACTTTTTAAAGCTGCATTCCAGGTAAGTGAGTTACAGATGGGACCACAGCTGTGCAAGACAGCAGAGCATCAAATTAATACTTCAATAGTCAAAGCTACCAAAAAAGGTGAATAGGGACATGCAGCTTCATTCAAAAGCTGCTCAGAGCGAGTCTTAAAAGATAGTTTATAAATTAGCTGCACAAAATACTAGCAAGGGTAAAGCTTCCCCACACGGTGCCCTGGGGAGCAAGGCTAAAAGGGCACTGAGCGTTTCTGAACACAACTTTCCCGAAAGGTTTTTTCCAAGTTGTGCTTCAGTGGCTCCATCATGCAAGATGCAGCACAGGGAACTAAAATGGCACTGCAGTCACATACAGAAACCATAGGGATCCACAAAAGTTTATCACCATCATTAAGAATCCTAAGCTAAAAAAAAAAAACGAACAAAAAAACCCCACAAACTTATTTTTAAATGTCTACATTAAACCTGAGAGCAATAACATCACAAGTTGCTCTTTCCATTCCATATAGGAACTTCATATTTAACCTAATTTCTTTGCCTCCAAACCTGCAGAGCCTCCATGTGTTGATGTCATTCCCATGGGCTGTGGATACTCTCTTTCCAAGTCTCTTATCTCTGCAGAGGATGCAAGTTTGCTTCAGCCCACAGCTACTCACTGCAAGGCTGTCCTGCTCAGCGTCTGGGTGACAAGCTCTGGAAAACCCTGATGAGGGCCAGAGTCACAGCTGTCATGCTAAAGGCCATAAGTTTATTTCCACTGGTCAGAATTTGTCATACGTCCTTCCAGGACAGGGACCGAGGTCTCCACAGACCTTCCCTAGCAGCTTCCCGTCTTGCAGGAGAGCTACCCATAAAGAAGCCTTGATACAGTCCCAGGACCTGAGAAGTTTAGGGAGCATCACGGATATATAACTTCACTTCTGAGGTAAGGAAAACCAAACCAAAACAAAGATTTCCTTGCAACTAGAAAACGACTGTCACTAGGTCACTTTGCCAAAGAATTACCTTACCCCCAATTCTCTGGGTGAGTTCAAGGACTGTTTATAGGCAATGGCTTCAGATTTTGCACCTCCTGGAGCAGAGGAGCCCACCTGCACCATCATCTGGACTTTCCAGCCTAACATCTTGTGGCCTGCAGGGCCAGAAATGATGAAAACTACACATTTCCACCTCCCTGATGGGACCACAATATTCATTTGTGGGCTTAAAGAGCCTGAGATCTCTTACAATCCAAGACTTTCTACAGCACTACAGAATATTTTAGATTATTTTTAGTGAATTTAATGGGTCCCTCAGAATCACGCTAAGTGGGGCTTGTGGTAACCGCAGCACCTGGCTTTGCAGGTGGGGAATACAAAAAAAGTCATACTGAAACTTTAAGATCCTCTAAAAACAGTTTCCTTGAAATGCCATATACTAACTAGAAATGGTACAACATGGGGCAGTGCTTCACATGACCTGTGTGCAGCACAGTTGGGCGATTTAGCGATTCCAGATGCAGAATGACCTTACATATCTCCTATGCCACGACGTAACACGCACTCCCTCTGACAGCGCACACTTACTACAGACACAACGTCAGCTCCTCATCACTGTATGAATCACACGTGATCGAGACCGAGTGACCGTGGCTGTTTTATTCCTAAACTTCTATCACACGGGGCCAAGTTCAATTTGCCCAATCCTTCCCACTGCACATCAAGATTAAGAAACCCAGGGAATCGTCCTGGTAAGCCACTGCACATTATCGGAGCTCCACCACCCTCATCCTGGCATGCAACGCCACAGAAGAGCTTCGAATTCAACCACAATGAATTTAACGTGCCTACTGCCCTAGCCTGATGGCAGCAACGTTACAGCAATTTATTCAATACAAGGATCCATCTTTTTTTCCTTATTGAGGCATTTAATCAAAATCAGTGACACAGAAAAAGACAGCCTTATTTCATTTGAGCAAGAGAGTCAGGCTTGTCACTCCAATATTGTAAGGAAAAGGAAGGTATTTACATATGGGTAGTTGCATATTCCTTTTCATCTGGATCCACACTCTGTTCCACAGCAAAAACAGAAGTCAATCTACCAGAGCAGCCAAATTTTCCCTCGCTCTCCCCTCCCCACCTTGCCCTGCTCTCCTGCAAAAGCAGCGCCTGGAGTTACTTCCAGCTCTCCGTTTGCAGGGGTGCGGAGATGCTCCAACTCGCTCCGCTCAATCCGCCCTCGAGTCAGAAGGGGAAAGCTCCATTTCGGATGCAGACGCAAGCCCCGCACCGGCCTTGTCCTGGCAGCGCCGCTGCCGCGCTCGAGCGTGCCAAACTGGCAAACGAGCTGAGCCAACGGTCATGCTCCCCGCAATACATATTTTAGAAGGGGATGCGTAAACGCACTCATTTGGAAACCCAGTCTGCTCAAGAATTTGCCTCTATGCCAATTTGAGAAGAAGCCACCATAGATAAGATTGATGCAACTTATTGATTCATTTTCTCTCAGGCTAGGTCGGAATTTTAAGTTTTCTCTAAATACAATCAGTTTACAGCGGTTTGTTAATATTCCTGGGACCTGAGCAACGTACTTCAGCACTGAAAGAAGTTCCATGATAAATGTGTTTGCCAATCTGCATCAGGAAAGGAGCTATAAAGTCGGCACAATTCATGCAAATTCTTTCTTAGTTGCTAAATACACTTATTTACATTTTAAATCACGCATAGACAATATGAAATAGCTTTCTTTTAGACAGGTGTGAACAAGAAAACAGATGCATCCATTAAGCTTGCAACAATTCAATGAATTAAAGGCGCTTCCTGATGAACGCTCTGCTTTATGTATATAGCCACTGTTCAACTTACTTGAAAAAACACAGCCATGGCTCCGACTACCCTGTTTTCTAGAACTGCTGTTCCAAAACTGTCAAAGTCATCCGGATTGTAGAAGTAAATCCTCATCTGTAAAAATTAAGAACAACAACAAAAATCACATAAATTGTTGATTCGTACAGCTTTGCAATGAGATACTACATACAGGCCCACACGTAGAGCCCACGTTATGCACCCAAGATAAAGGAATTCTGTGGAACAATATTGTTTAACTGGCACTGTGATTAATAGCACGACCACCCTACTGGGCCAGTAACCAGGGAACGGAGTCGATGTGATGCATTTTGATAAACCAGCGGATAAGCAGTATAGCCAGGCTGCTCAGATGGTAAACTTTGTGCTTTCTGCCCGGATCTCTTAATTTCTTTGTTCACTGCAGAATCCTCTCCTGCTCTGCTAAATGTGGTAAACAGATTCATCTTAAAAATATAGAGGGTTTTTAGAAAGGATTTTTACGTTTAGAGTTATTCCTTTATTCCTAAAGCAATTTGTAAGATAAAAGTGTTTCTCTGTAGCAATGCATTTTCATGAGCTGCTGATACTCAGGACTATCAGTTAGGGTCAGGCTTCTCTCTGACTTCCGTTAAATTTCATGACTTTTATTTCCAAAGCTTTAGCACTTGGCAGAAAGCACAAGAGAAACATAACTGGACATTTGGATGCCATTTTAGGACAAATAATAAATACTAACAGTTAAGCAAACCGTAAGTGAAAGCAGGTGAGGGCAGTGATTACCCCAAACCAGCAAATGTCTAGGTGACATAAATCCACGATGACTGAGGGACACCTTCCTTCATGCAGCCTGACGTAGAGCCACCACGAGTGCACAAACCCACCACGAGCAAGGGTAGCCCGCAGGGGCCATGGCCACCACAGCTCTGATTTTCCTGCCCGGCCCTGGTCGCATCTGCGGCCCTGGCTGAACCCGGCCTGCTCGCGGCAAGGCCGGCACGTGGGTCGCTCTCCAACCAGTCCTTCCCCAAACACACCCCAGGCCTCCACGGCTACCAGCACTTGCTCCAACTCTGCTGCCACTCTCCTTTGTGACCTTACGCCATGCAAAAACCGCCTCTATAAAATATTTTTCAGATTGCCACATTTTATTGTATGGGTACTCTACATACTAAAGGGAGAGACGTGTGTGGTGGCAACAGCCCAACACGAGACTGGGCCTCTGCTCCTCCTCTGCCTGTCACCGTTACTGGTCCCGTTCAGGCTCTTTGTGCCATTACCAGGTTATAGCAAGCAGCCACAGAGCACGTAGTTAAACACAGCCCCAGCAAGTTGCTTGGGGCTGCTGGTGCTTTTCCAAGATGGTGCTGCACTGCAAATCCGACCCTCTGGCAAACACAGGTGCTTCTTTTCCCCTATTCTGTCATGTTGTACGTGACCAAATGACATGATACCAGCTTTTATCTTCTACAGATACGCTCTTAGTCATACTTACTGATTCCCAGGCTTCTGGCTGTAAATATGAGTTGCAATGTGCAAGGCTGGCAAAGTAGCTACTCATCCACTAAAGCAGCAGCAGCTGGAGAAAAAGCT